TCCGTACATGGCGTGAATAACTTGACAAGTCGACTAATATCAAATTTTAAGTTATAGCAGAATTGTCGTCCAGATTACTTGTTTTATATGGGGAATAAATGAGTAACTCGATTCTCTCACGTATTTTTGGGATATCGCACTTGTGAATTACTAAACAACTCTGTTTCCAACGAGAATATAATGACATTTAGATATATCTAAACATATTAGTGTTATTTATTTAATTAACTCAACACGTTAAGTTATTTACGCCACATAATTAAATGAACTAACAGAATACCTTTAGATGATCAATTATTCACATAGCCCATAATTGTGTTCGCGACTATACATATTCGGTTGTCAAGTTATTACCGGCATGAAAAAGCATAATAATATTCAGAAAAAAGAAAGGATAAAGATGAAGCAAAGTGCAACTTATCCAGTCGAACATATACATATGATCTTCAGCAGTGCTTACCCACCCCCCATCTTAAAACTTCTGTTTCTTTTTATAAACGGCCGCTATGGTCCTACAATCTCACAATCCATGATTTAGCAACTAATAAGGCTACATGTTACATGTAGGACGAAACCATCGGTGCTCGTCACATCGCGTCGTGTCTGTGGCATTTTCTTCAGATTCAAAAGTTTTACAGGTCACGTTTTATTCAGATACATATGGAGGCCAAAACAAAAATAATACGGGTGCAATGATGTTCATGTATTTACTTCATGTGTATCCAACGCTAGAAACTATTAATCACAAGTTTCTTGGATTGTGATTCACATGATGTGTGATTCGGATCATGCCTTGATTGAGAGAACCAAACAGTAAAGGCGACTTAAAATTAACTATCTATTTTAACGACTGGGTGCAACTCATAAGATCTTGTAAGATTAATAACGCATATGCCATTGTACCAATTAAGTGCGAAAATTTCCTAAATTAAGTTCGAAAAAAGAGCCATTCACGATTTAAAAAAGACAGTTCCGAAGATAAATTCTTGCGGCAAACTGTAAAATGGCTGCAATACAAAAACCCTATTGGAGAAATACGTTTCAAGATAGATTTGACAGTGAAAGCTCTTTTAAGGTAATCAACTTTCAGAAAAGGAGCAAATATAATATAGACATAACGTATATAACGTCCAGATAGAAGTTCTCTCCAAAGACATCTAGCCAGTAAGTACAGAAAAGGGAAGAATTTGGTGGATTTATTACCTTTAATAGACACAGCATTTCACGATTTTTATAAAAACATAAAGACTGACAACCCACCAAAAAATGCCACGACTTAGATACTGAAGACCCTGATTTAGAGGGAAACGGAAAAGAACAGAGAGAAGAATATAATAGTAATTCCAGAAGCAGAATAATTTCAGTTTCTTTTAATTAATAAAAAATAAAATTAAGTACAAGTTTTGGATTTTAGTTCGAGATTGATCAATTCAAATGGCTTATTATTACATCATCATTCTCCTGCCCTTCTCCCAGTCACCTGGGGTCGGCGCAACTTGTTTTCTCCTTCCATACTCCTCTCTCATATAGCTTTTCTTCGCTCACTCTTACACATATTGTCTTTCACGCAATCCATCCATTTCATCTTAGGTCTACCTCTTCCTCTATACCTTCCACATTTATAGTTAACACTCTCTTACCAACCTCATTTTCATTTCGTCTCAGCACCTTTTTTTTTATTGCGTAGATGGGTGGACGAGCTCACAGCCCACCTGGTGTTAAGTGGTTACTGGAGCCCATAGCCAACTACATCGTAAATGCGCCACCCACCTTGAGATATAAGTTCTAAGGTCTCACATGTCCATACCATTCCATCACATCCCATCCCATCTCACCATCCAACCACCATCAAATGGCTATTACATATTATTGTATTTTTTTTAAATCTCTTATGTAAACAATCTTATTACTTTTCTCGGATTTTAATAAATTGCGTAGGTGAATAAATTGACAAGTCGTCGGTGAGCAATTTGATATGTCATTTTTTTCTTGATTAAAACGTTAATTCATTATTATACTTACTGTGTGAAAATTCCGATGAAATTACTTAAATACGCATAAAAATTATATAAAAGGATAAGAAAATAGATTTACCAATAATATGTAAACTTAAAAATGGCTGCCCTGAAAAGTATGCATTTTCGACTTGTCAATGTATTCACGCCGTGTACAGATATATTGGTTGTCAAATATTGATTTGTGCATTTAGAAATTTATTTTGTGTAAAATACTGAAAAATATATCAAGCTATAACTTAAATAAACAAACAACAAAAAAATGTCAAATCGATTGTTCTCACTCAATCATCTTTACGTACATGTTTACACAAAAAATGACACAAAATATAGTACATATATCAGAAAGCTTTAAATTTATGAAGTGTGTAACTGTGTTGCATTTAATAATGTACATGAAACATTTTATACATAATATATGTAGGTGATACGAAGTTCACCGGATTATACAATAAGACATAATTCTGAAATAACATTTATTACCGGGACTGCGGAGCCTTGGCTGGTAGGTCCTTACATTCTTTAAAAAGTGGTGTGCCAGCTGCGGGTGAGTCCTAACTCGACGTCCACAAACCAACAATTATGTGTTTGTGTATTTGATGGGCTGATTGTGGTGCAGAAAGCAGCTATTAGAGCCGCGGAGTGCCGCGCCCTGACTTGTGTAATTATGGACACAAACCCGTAGGACGCGATCAATATTAGATAAGATTCAAGGGGCCGTGTGCGTGGCGTCTAGGACGATGATTTCCTGCAGTAAGACTGTTTGCTTCTTGTCATGTAAGTGTTCAACTGTGTAGCTGCTATTCCAATACATTAGGACTTCAATCTCGTACCTATATTAAGATCCGTTGAGATGTGATGTTGACGGGGTACAGTAACCAGTTCGCTCAGTCCATCCTCTACAGTAAAAAATATTTTCAAACAGGAGTGCAGCTGGTGATAGCGTGGCGCCTCATCTTCGCCGTTTGAGGCAGGTAGGGTTCTGTCAGCTGGATCCCACGTCTCAAAGTCGCAGACCGATCCTCGCGCTAATGCATCGCGTCTACCACCGGCTCGTGCTGGCCGCGACTGTCCTGTACATTCTCGAACAACTCACTTACGCGTACCAGGTAATTTTGTGATATTAAGCCCATATATTAATACGATATTAATACGCTAATAAGACGCTAGGGTTAGTGTTAGCAACGTCATCAGGTTTGAGCCTCGTGAGCTACCCTACTTGTTAGGTTACGTTGACATAGCTTCTCAAGGCTACCAGCTTAGGTAGGAAAGATATTAAAAACACATCAATGAAATGTACTATTTATTTTAAAGCCTCAATAATAAGACCACACGGCGGCACTCCTAATGTAACGGTTGTCTCAAATCGGAACTTATGCTGATTCACACCTGAAGCAGGCAGGGTGTTGGTGCTTACCCGTGCGAGTCTTTGTCGTGTTAAGTGTTTCCCGGAACTCATAAATATTAACAATGATCCCTTGAGACGCAAATTAAAAGTTAGCGTTTGATTTTTATTATAGTGTGCGTTATCGTAGAAGTTCTTTCTGAAACTTCTAGTTCCTTCATGATCATGTCTCAAATACGCATTTAATTAGTAAAATTGGTACCTTTGGTCTATGGGATTTGAACACTGGAATAGTCGAATTGATACGAGCGACCAGTACACCGGGCGTCTTATCTATTAGGCTATAACTGGGACTGGCCCTTGACATGCGTTCGACGGGGGATTTATCTCTCGTAATTGTAAACACGATACGATATCAGCTGCAGTTTGTCATTATAACGTTGGAATATTTATTTTATCGAGTCTAACGTAATTCTATATATTGTTAAGCAATCGAAACCAGGGCTGCCAAACCTATTTAAATGACAGCTTTTTTAAAATACTTTACTGCCGTGTTGAAGCACATCCCGAAAAAATCCAAAGATGTCTACCAGATGCCATTCCCCACATTTACTGTTCGCAAATTCAAGGGTGCGATTTTAAAGAGATCGGATGTAAGAGGATTTTAGTTAGGAGTTAAGTTTAGGAGCATAACACAACGAGGTTTAAGTAATGCTACTAACTAACGTTACTAACTGGCTAACGTGATTTGTTCAGGCTCGAAATGACATGGAGAGGCTGTCTCGAGTGCTTTTCCTGATGCTGTGCCACCTGACCTGCATCGCCAAGCAGTTCGTCTTCCATTCGGACGCTGACAAGATTAACCAGCTTGTGGTGGGACTCGATGGTCTGAGATCCCTAACTTTTACTAGCTTTATTTGCACATACATGTTATGTAACAGATTAGAGAGGCCCAATTTGGTAGCGCCGTCTAGAAGCAGACACTTCACAATAATGCTCGGTCGCGAGTCCCGGGCTCTCCTTCGACTGCGCTCTGTGCAATACGTTAGTTCGTGTTCCCGTACTATAGTATACGTTTGTTCTGTCTTACAACAGATGCTCTGTGCAACCAGCCAGTGGAAGCTCACAGGCTGCTGCTGCTAGAGACTTCGCGCCGTGCAGCACGTCTGCTGATGCTTTACTCAGGCTGTGCGGTGTCTACCTGCATCCTGTGGGCGGTGTTTCCACTCCTCGATCAGCTCCGAGGGCGAACAGTTGAATTCGCCTTCTGGATACCAATCGATTACCGTCACAATGCGTTTCAGTTAGTTTTAAAGAGGAATTACTTATATCGTTAAAGTGTTCATCAGAAATGCCGAAGATGTCAATAAGATCAGAGTGTATCGTGTTGTATCATGATATTATTATAATATTTTAAATAACCATAGTATTTTTCGGCCGGTTCGATATTTGTGACCCAGGTGTGCACCAATACACCACAGTTCGTTGGAAATATATTTGATTTGAGGTCGCAAGCTGGATTTGATTATATAACGCCTTCCCCACCCTTCAAGTTTAAACTTTATATGATTTGAAAATTTGATTTACTGTGTTACTTAAGATGGATATTTTACTGTATTATCTAAAAAATTAACGCCAGACTTCTCATACTTGTTAATAGATATTTTTCTACTGCGTCATATAAAGTGTATTTCTGTGGTCATAGCTTTGTACGTCTAGCATTGAAACCGCGTGCCTTAAGACAGACCCAGGAAAGGTAAAGGCAAGTTCGTGGTAGCAGCTGCCATTATATCGATCGTTACATCAAAAAGAAGTTTGATTACAACTGCAAGCATTTCCTGGACAGGTTCGCAGTGGTTCTAGCGTATGCGTTCTATTCTACGTCGCTTGTGGCAGTGGCTAACACGACCATGGACGCTTTTATTGCGACCGTCCTCTACCAGTGCACCACCCAGCTTAGGATTTTAAGGTACAGTACATTTTCTTGATTTCATGCTATAACATTTTCATCTTCTTGGAACTCTATAGATTGGATCGATATACATAACCGTTTGTTGGCTTGTCGTGACCTAAAGTCATGGCCAAGTTGGTGTGAGTCTTAGAGAAGGTCAAGGTACAGCAGTGGACGTCTGTTGGCTGATATCAACATCATCATCATCAGCCCACAGTCGTCCACTGCTGGACATATGCCTCTCCTAATCCACATCACTGAGCCCGGTCTTCGGTTCTCCTCATCCACTTCTTGCTGCCACCGTTCGGAGGTCATCGCACCACCTAGCCAGGGGGCGTCCCACGTTACGTTTTCCACTGCGCGGTCTCCACTTGGCTGATAACGATTATGTTAATTAATGTTAAGACCAAAAAAATACATAGACGTTGCTTTTATATTAGCCATGAATGCATTGGCACGTGGATGGCAGAAATATTGTGATGGAGACTGTGGTTATTTAGAAACTAAGGTAAATCGTACTAAGAATGAATGATGGATGAGTAGCTAGGTGTAATACTAGTTTCTTCTAAAATGTAGCCGCATTATTAAATTTCTGACATGTTATAGAATGAATTTTGAATCTCTACCGGAACGCGCCTACGAATTGAGCAGGAAGACCAGACAGGATTACCATACGGTGACTCACGAATTGCTGGTTGATTGTCTTCTACATTACAAGAAGATTACGGAGTGAGTATTTGAATGAAGCTTTCAAAACTACCGGCCAGTGCGGCTTTCGTTTATAGAATAAACTTAGAGACGCAGGAGCTTGGAATCGCATTCTTAATGTCAAAAGTTGCCGAATTCCCAAACCACCACCCCGCCTATTTCTGCCGTGAAGCAGTAATGCGCTTCGGGTTGAAGGGTGGGGCAGCCGTTGTAACTATACTGAGACCTTAGAACTTATATCTCAAGGTGGGTGGCGCATTTACGTTGTAGATGTCTATGGGTTTCAGTAACCACTTAACACCTAACACCAGGTGGGCTGTGAGCTCGTCCGCCCATCTAAGCAATAAAAAAATCTGCAGTTTTCCAGCGCACTCCGGATAGTATCATAGTATCATAATTAACTAAGCTCACACCTCTGATTACGTTGGAAACCTAATAATTTAATTCCCTAAATGATCCGCAAGCACACATCATTATCATCAGCACACAGACGTCCCTAACTGGACGTAGGCCTCCCTCAAAGTTCACCACAACTACCGGTCCTGCGTAGCCCGCACCCAGTGGATTCCCACGACCTTCAGCATGTCTCCACATGCTTGTTATCATTTAAAAAAAACCCAAACATGAGATTTTCTTATCGTGGATTTGAAACCGCAAGCCCAAAGAAACTGAGAAAACTGACGAAAAAATTATAAAATTAAATCTTTTCAGAACTTGTAATCTGTTGGAACAAATATTTGGTAAGGCAATACTCGTGCAGTTCGGTGTCGGAGGCTGGATCCTCTGCATGGCGGCCTATCAGATAGTCGACGTAAGTAGAGTCATGTTGATGGGTTCTGGTGTTGATGCAAATTTTGCAGACAAATGTTCACGCCGTTAACTTAGTTAATAAGTTGCCTCTCCTTAATCATAGAAGCTTTTGGTTATGTACAAAATCACATCAAAAAAACTGGAAACTAATATGTAGTTTAATACATGGCTCAGCTCCTATCGTTGCCGCGTGAGATCATTTCCGCTGACTCATCAGTCTTCTCAATTCCTTCTACAGCAATATGGCGAGGTACCTAGACTAGATACAAATTATTGTCTCGCCTTAGCTTATTAAGTGTCTGTATGTATTCTGGAAATACAGAACCTATTTAATAGGACACAAGTGCCTTAAGGGCTTGTTTTACTAGAATAGCTTCCCTCTTTGAAGCAGATATCTATTTGAAGGTAACTGAGCACTGATTCACTAACAGATGGAGATCCTGAGCATAGAGTTCGCGTCCACAGCATTGTTCATGGGCTGTATCCTGACCGAGCTCTTCTTGTACTGCTACTACGGGAACGAGGTCACGGTACAGGTTAGCATACAGTAACTTGACCTTTATAAGTCGCTAAATCTAAATTATGAATAAGCCCGGGATGCCACTTTATTTGGGTACAGGACATCCGTAAACAAGCATTGAACAGGTAGGAATGAAATAGTCATCTCGGCGATTTCTAAATGTGTATTTGTGTAGGTACCTAAGTCGAGGGTAACATAGCGTTTTTAAATTCATAAAAATATGAAATTGAGTTTTTTTTTATTGCCCTTATAGGCAGACGAAGCCTGATCACCTGATGGTGAGTAGTTACCGTCGTCCATGGACTTCAGCTATGTCAGGGGCAGAGCCAAGCCGCTGCCTACCGCAAAATGAAAATTAAACTTTCAATGAAAATTGTTGTGTACATATATTAAATAGTTTTTCATACTTGTATTTTCTGTTACACGATTTTCTTATTACTCTATTAAAATCATTTAACAGTATACACTTTTATTGATTATGATTATGGAATTTAAATTATGTCCAACAGTCAGGTCCCAGTTGGCGATGCGTGCCCATGTCTTCATCTCATAGAGGCAGTCAGATATCTGTTAGGTACCCTAGATGTAGTGGCTGTGCGCTATGTTGTTACAGTACAGAGTATAGATATTCCATTAGTAAATGTCTGTGTTTACTTTTATTAGGTCTACGGGCTCCAGTGCCCGTTGCAGGGGAGGATGCCGGTCAGACCGAGGGCTCGATGACATTGAGTGCGGTTCCCTTACAGCCTGTATGTAATATAGCCGCCTGTGTTGCAGAGCGGGCTGGTGTCGGAGTCGGTCTACGCCATGAGCTGGCTGTCGCTGTGCCCGAGGGAGCGGCGCGCGCTGGTGGTGGTGCTGGAGCGCGCGCGGCGCCCGCTGCGGCCCGCCGCCGGCCGCGTCGTGCCGCTCACACTCAACACCTACCTTAAGGTTCAGCCGCGTGCGCACTCGACTTACAGACACTCTCTCACTCACTCTCGAGCACTGTTCCAGTAACGGCTCTCCTAGCTTTACAATTACAACTATAAAAGTAGGCATTCAATGCTGTTAACACGTATAGAGTGATTATTATTATTACATATGTATGCATTTGTTCATTAAAAAATTACAGCTGGCTGTAAAGAAGGTGTATGACCTCGACTGTAATGGACGATTTAACCCGGTGTTCACGCCAAGTCCATGAACTAGCAAAGCAAAACAAGATAAAATACTAATCTTCATTCGTTCTTTTACAGATCTTGAAATCATCTTATAGTTTCTACGCAGTCCTCAGACAAACCAAGTGATGGGACACCCACGGATAGGATATTGCCACAAGCTCCCTTCTCTAGTCCGTTAGCCTGGATCAGTGATCGGTCTTCACTGCTGCTGCTATCATTTAGCACTCCTCCCTATTTTAAGTATTTAGGGCACACATCGTTACGGCGCATTGCAGGATTTATTAATCTAGTGATCGTCGTAGAACTATTGTAATGCGGTCAGTACGCACCATTAGATTAGTAAATAGTTTGTTAAATAAATGTTATTCGACGTCAACTGTTTTTTAATATTCCTGTCAAGTTAAGTACCTGAGGTACCTGAGTACTGTAAAATTAAGAAAACAAAAGGTCCAGCAGCCGCGGCCGGTTCGTTTCCTCGTGGAGCTGACCTGCAGCGGGCGTCGGACGGCTACCTGGTCACGGGCACGTCGCCGTCGCACATTCGTATACTTATAGTATAGGAAGTATCGAGACTTCAATTACTTATAGAGCAGTAAAAATAAGATCAAAATTGACCTTATTGGGGCTGAAAATATACACATAATATAATAGTATAGGCCCTGCCTATTTCTGCCATGAAGCAGTAATGCGTTTCGGTTTGAATGCTAGGGTAGCCGTTGTAACTATACTGAGATCTTAGAAATTATATTTCAAGGTGGGTGGCGCATTTACGTTGTAGATGTCTATGGGCTCCAGTATCCACTTAACACCAAATAGGTTGTGAGCTCGTCCATCCATCTAAGCCAGGGGTTCCCAAACTTATTTTGTCTATTGCCCACTTTGAGAATAAATTATTTTTGAACGCCCCCCTTTTCTTCACCTAATTAAAAACCACTTTAGCGAGAGCTAAGTCGGTATCTAAGAGTCCTCCTAGATGAAATTACAAATCTCCTCCCAAGCCCCCACCCAACGCCCCCTTTCTTTTCTGGGTCTCTTACCGCCCCCCTTTAGGCCTACAGCGCCCACAAGGGGGCGTTATCGCCCACTTTGGGAAAGGCTGATCTAGGAAAAAAAAAGCTATTACTGCGACTTCGACCGCATCTCTCAAGGTGGGAAGCTGTAGGCACGTTTTCGTTGTGATGTGAGCTGTTTATTTCCTTATGGTCTGTGTAGACAGAGCAGATTACGGTCCACTTGGTGGTGAGTGCGTTACCGTCGCTAATGGATGACAGCGATGCTAGGAGTACAGGTAGGTCGCTCTCCGCAAGCCTCGTTTGAAGAAGGACAGCTCCTAGCGCTCGGTACACCGTGGAGGGGAGGGAGTTCATTCTAGAGGTCCGACCATACTTCATCAGGAGGGCCGTGAGCTCGTTCACACGTATGAGTAAATTCAATAAAGTAACTTAATCAGAGAAACTAATCGACTAAGTGTAATACTGGTATACAATTGAGTATAGTGAATAATTAATAATGGTAGCATGTCATAGTTCCCGCCATCGGACCCCGTAATTAATCTTTCAATCTTATATCACCCGTGTAATTAGAACTGTAATTAGCTGATATGAAAAGAGCGGGCCTCCGCGCTGGTTTGATTTATTGAAATATATCGAGGACTAGTCTCGGAGCTGCGACAAACGTAGCGTGCTCTCGTAATCATGTAAGCCACGTCTCATCACTCATCCTACCATCAACCATCCTAGAATTTGTTTATTATTATACAATCCCTGTACCTACGAATTTTTATTCATAAATAGTAGCCCGACTCATTTTGCTGCTAATTGAGTTAAAAAGAAATCGCTTTAGTGCTGATAGCAAAACAATATTATATGAACGATTATATAAGTATGACATATTAATCATAAGCTTGAATGCGACAATATCGCTGTGAACTACGGCAACTAACTTTTTTATTTTTATTTATTGCTTAGATGGGTGGACGAGCTCACAGCCCACTTGGTGTTAAGTGGTTACTGGAGCCCATATACATTTACAACGCAAATGCGCCACCCAACTTGATATATAAGTTCTATGGTCTCAGTATAGTTACAACGGCTGCCCCACCCTTCAAGCCGAAACGCATTACTGCTTCACGGCAGAAATAGGCGGGGTGGTGGTACCTACCCGTGCGGACTCACATGAGGTCCTACCACCAGTAAAAAACTGTGTGGTTATCACAATATTTTGGTTTCATTATTCAAGATTAATTTATTTAATGATTTTGTAGGTCGTTATCTGGAAGTAGCGTCTTCAGGCACTTGTTTCTGCTGCGATGCTGCGGCTTCTGTCGTCTGAGCCGGAGCTCCACCGCGCGTCGTGGGCTCAGCGTAGCTCACGAGGTCTACCGGGCGCTGACTCTCACCCTCACCGTGGTCTACTTGCTGCAGGAGTGCATCTACGCTTACCAGGTTTACATTCATGGCATACTTTAGGCCTTGGCGACTTTTCTAACTTGCGGCCTAAATTGTACATGCATAATGTAGTTTTACTTAATAGAAATATTTTTAGAATACTATAGCTACATCGACGACCTCGAACACAGAAACAAATCGGAGAGCTTTAAAATATTCGCATCGACCAAATATTGTCTACGGTAACAAAGCCATGTTAGGTACTATCACGATGTAGACTGGCTTGTGCAAGGCGCATCAAATCAGCATCGGGCATCGCAGCACCGGGCGTTGTGGCCTGTCTCTCGTCGTTAGAGGCCGCCTCCTTACAGCACATGACACTAGAACGTTAATGTGAACAGGAGAGGACCGATATGGACAAGCTGTCTCGGGTCATGTTCCTGCTGCTCTGCCACATCACCTCCGTGGCGAAACAACTGGTCTTCTACCTGGATGCGGACAGAATCGACTGTCTGATCGCCACACTTGACGGTACCTACTCCTCCTTAAATTCCTTCTTTCGTTTTTGAAATAACCAATGTTATGCGGTTAATTGATCATCTATCTTTAATTATATAAATCTGTAATCACATTACACTTAAGTAGAATTTCTACACAGGTTGATAACAAATTGTCTTTTAATTATTGGTAAAAATCATTTTTTTTACGCATTTAGGAGAGATAACTTGGCAACAACAAAACAAAAAAGAAAATGTACTAAATAAAAGGAATTTAAATCTTGTGGTATCCGTGATTAGGGTCGAATTTCAATCATTAAACAAGCACTAGTATATACAGACTTGTGCCTAATCATCTCAACTATTAAATAATGAACTGGCTTGAACTCGAGATAACTGTTAACGTAAGTGAGCAGTTTACGACGTGGAAGATGTTGGATTCAGCAAATCTCTCTCAACACTTCCATTCGTTCACAAATTCTATTCGTAAACTATTTAACTTAGTTATTTAAAATTGATCCATATTTTGCAACAAGCAGATCCCTCGTACAACGAAATGTCCCACCAAAGACTTCTCGTGGACGCCTCGCGCTGGGCATCGAGGTTCGTCTGGGCATACTCGGGGTGTGCCGTTGTCACGTGCACCCTCTGGATTGTCTTCCCTATCATCTACCACGTGCAGGGACAAACTGTGGAATTCCCGTTCTGGATTCAAATAGACTACACGAAGTCTTCAATGTTAGTGTTTTTCAGTTCAATTTTAAATTTGCAATAATTAAAAATTCAGAGGCTATTCTTTGTTTTTTTTTTTATATTTCATGTTTTACAAGGCCAATTCGTTTTTTTCTTTTCACAAACTTACACGAACAAGGTTTTCAAGGTGCCGTAAAAATAAGTAGATACCTAGCCTAAGTGTAAATTGTACAAAGATTACATTAATTCATGAAATATTGTAAACATGTATCTCCAGGAGAACACTTTCCCTTTCCAGTGAAAACGGTACCGCAACGTTTTTTCTTAACCTCGAAAACCAATCTCTGTGGCAGGTTTGTGGTGGTGCTCCTCTACTCGTACTACGTGACCACCCTGGTGGGAATAGCCAACACCACCATGGACGCCTTCATGGCCACCATCCTCGGACAGTGCAAGACTCAATTCACAATATTGCGGTTTGTCAACTGATTTTAATAAATGTTCAAATTGAAAATGTCCGACACAAACACAGAACCTTAAATGACTCTACTAATATTTACTCTTACTACCGACTGGTATAAAGGGACTATTCTATTGATTTCAATCTAAATCAAAAATTCCTTTTTAAATCATTCCTTTTTAAATTTATCGATCGATTTGAATACAACAATAATTCGGAATAGTTAGTGGGTATGTAGTGTAGTACATATATGTAAGTCATGTAATTTGTGATAATAAAAGAGTATTAAACCAACACTTGGACAAGACAGTTGTTTTCATTCAAACTAGAAACTCCCTTCAGGTACATACTTATAACTATATACATGCCCGCGTTGTAATATTGCATAATTAGATGTGACTAATCAGTGACTCTGTTACAGAATTAAGTTCGAGACGCTGCCAACGCGAGCCAAGCAGGCCCTAAGGTGTGACTCCGAGCAGAACTACGATGAAGTGCTGATGAGGCTGTTCCATGATTGCTTGAAACATTATCAGAAAATCGTAGAGTACGTATATTATAAGAACTTTCTGGCTCCAACGGCCATCCGTTCTACGAGCAATGTGTCCTGCCCAATGCCACTTCGATGTCGCAATCCTTTGGGCTATGTCGGTTACCATGGTTTTCCTGCGAATTCCCTCATCCAACGATCTATTGAGGTTCGCGAGGATCCGCTGGATGCAAGCAGCGCTGGACCGGTCTTTGTAGCGAGGCATGGGGGAGGCCTATGTCCAGCAGTGGACGTCTGCGGGCTGATCATAATAATAATATATAGTGTATGACAGAAGGAGTACCAGCCGCACAGAGTTAGTAGGCCGCCGTGCTGATATATATGTGCATGATATCACCATGGACAGCTAAGTACTGCACTATAACACAGCCCAGTTATTGAGCGTTAGCAAAATTGATAAACGTCTAGGGAACTTTCCTCCCAACGATCAATAGCTGTTCACGCTTCGACCCTTGATATGTATATGCTGACGAGTGCTATTTTGAGCTCAATGCAGATTTGCATAAGACGGCTGGTGTGCCTACTCGTATCGAGGTATGCAACTGTACCGCTGTCATGAATTGTTCACGTGATGAAGGGAAATCCACGTGGAGTAAAAAACAAATTTGCAAAATTTTTGAGTAACCCGCTTTACAAAACAATGAGGCTTTGACCTCCTGTGTAATGGTCGGTGGTGGGAGTTAGGTTGCCATATCTAAGGCTCCAGTAACCGCCGCGCGCGATTGATCATGAACTCGCTCACCTATCTATGCCATAATAAATAATAGCAACTGGTAAAGCTCAGTTTTCCCCACAGTACGACATCATCACTTCAGAGCATCTTCAGTTCTGCTATTCTGATACAATTCGGTATCGGAGCCTGGATCCTATGCATGGCGGCTTACAAGATTGTTAATGTAAGTTTCACATCAACGTATTGTCTGCGAGGCACCGGAGCCCACAGCCATCTACGTATATAAACGTAAAACCGCCACCTTATTTTCCTACCTAATCGTAGGTAGCCTAAGTGACTATTCTAACTACGGTCGGACCAGGCGCCGTCTCATCCACCCTCAGACGTGAATTCCAGGGTTTCAGTCTTTACGACGCACAATGGCTGCTCCACCGTTCAAACTGAAACGCATAACTGTTCCACGACAGAAATGGGTAGAGTGGTTGTACCTGCCAGTGCTGACTCACAAGACCACCAGTAAAATTATGCTTCCAATATATTCATTATACTTCCAATAAGATTTTGTATCATGAACCTTGACTATTATTATGTTACTGGCCTACCGTACTCCTGAATCAAAGTGATTACTGTAACGAATAGATTCACTAAGTACAACTACTCTGAGGTAAAATCCAACTATAAATGTAAGGTCCCTTGCGCGTGCGCTTGTCTGTCTGTGTGTGTACATTCAATAGCTGATCAGTATTAAGTAAATAAGTTTAGTTCCCCATAATATTATATTTATCAGTTGAGCGTTCTGAGCATCGAGTTTGCGTCCATGATCCTGTTCATCAGCTGCATACTCACGGAGCTCTTCCTGTACTGCTACTACGGGAACGAGGTGTCAACCGAGGTACTCACGCGCTACAGCCCAGCAGCTACACTCTCGCATTCATCCTCATCTTCAACAAGCCACTTCATTGTTTTATTGTCTCCTATTCCTTTCGCTGATTTTAATCTTAATAGTGATATTAACAGTCAAATGTCCACTCACATCTTCATCTTTTATTGTAATTGTTGATGACAGTAGAGAGAGATGCGGTAGAGAGAGGCGCTTGTATTCAGAAGCTGCATAAACCAACATTTGAGAAATTGCATACAATCGAATACCATTCGTGAATAAGCGCTGGTCACTGTTCGAACACAACTACCGCACGTTGTGTATGTTTGTAACAGCTTGACTGTGTTCGCAGCACTGTTGATGTCCAGGAGTGTCGGTAACCGGCTCATTATCGGCTGGACCGTATGCTAGCCTGGCTGTCAAAGAAATAAAAATATAAAGTTATCAGACCTGTGACCTCAGCGTTACTGTACGTATGTTCGTAGCTTGGTGGCGTCCCTTGGGGCTCGCGGGACCTACACTGTACTATTTTTACAGCGTGTGGGGGCAGGGGCGGGTGTTGCCAACGGTCACCGGCTGGAGACACCGAGTCAAAGCGTCTATGGCACTATAATCGGTGCTATGCGCCAGGCACCTGCCAGTGCGAGTGTGCATTTAGTATTCCGATCAATAAAGTACGTTGTCTTGTTTGATGCGAACAGAGCGATCGGCTAGTGACGTCGATCTACAGCATGGAGTGGCTGGGGTCTGGGCTGGGGTTCCAGCGCGGCTTGCTGGTGCTGCTGGAGCGAGCCCGCAGACCGGTGCGGCCCGCCGCCGGACTCGTCATACCGTTGTCGCTTCAAACCTTCCTCAAGGTTTATCAAATATCCATTCTAAGCTAGCTGACCCGGCAGACTTCGTAGTGCCTCAATCGAAAACAAAATTGTTATTTTTATTTAATTCCAGGAATTTTTATATTTATCTACCTTTTAAGCCTTCTCTGGACTTCCACAAATAATTCAAGACGAAAATTAGCCAAATCGGTCCAGCCGTTCTCGAGTTTTAGCGAGACTAACGAACAGCAATTCATTTTTATATATAGATAATAGATAATTTACTTCCACTTCAGACATTGCTCGCTAGTTTGACCTAGCTTCCAAGTATATTATTGTTAATCACCGATAAGGAAGTACCTACCTACGCAATATGTAGTACATAATTTATTTCTGCACCATACACTTTTGTTTTAAGAGCTGAATATTATGCTTATTCTAGCTAAAGTTTTACCAAACCTATTTCAATTGCAGATTATAAAATCATCATACACATTCTACGCCGTGCTGCGGCAGACAAAGTAGGTATCGAGAAGAGTAGCCTCGCACCAGTAGGTACATACGAATAAACTCGTAACAACTAAACAAAAGTGTCGAAAGAATTCATGTTAATTATACGATTGTTTTAGTTCAATAAAAAACCCAGTAAATACAGTTTTATGTCTATGTTATGTTTAGACGGTTTAGACTCATTATTTCAATTAACATGTGGTTTCTAAAGACAAATATGTTAAATAGTTATAAATTAAGAAATGAAGCGAATGGAAAAAATATTTCTAGTCCAACGTCAAAAATATCAAATTGAAAATATTAGTAAGAAAAAAAAGAGGTCTGTTTTTAAATTAGTTTATAGCGTCATCTAGCGAAATATAACTACTGCCATAGTTTTCTGAATCGAATAATAAAAATGAAGAACTGGGTGTTTACTTTGCGTGCTGCCACTAGATGTCGCTGCACGGGAATCAGCTGCAAGAATAATGGTGAAAACAATACAATAGGTAACACTAGGACAATTCTAAATATTATACTTTACGTACGACAATTTTCCTACTTAAAACAATAAATATTCGAAACTGTAACATAGTGTAATTTATCTTAAAATTTATACCGCATATTTGTTAGTAAATCAGAATGATATTAATTTTTTATATTACTTTCCTACCTAAGCAAAGAGGGTTATGCCAGTATAATCGAACCAGTAGGTGAGCTCACAGGGATCTAACCTGTGGAGGTTGCTAATGCTAACACTAGCCCTAGCAAGGGCAGTGCCTTGTAGAAACGGTTTTCACAGGTGAGATCCAGTACAATGAAAATTCAACGCAATTCTTATATAATAGATGGCGCTAGCAACATGATTTGCATAACAACTTAGGTACTTAATTACTTACTTACACTTACAATATTTATTCTTTATTTATTTTTTTAATACTTAGATGCGTGGACGAGCTCACAGCCCACCTGGTGTTAAGTGGTTACTGGAGCCCATAGACATCTACAACGTAAATGCGCCACCCACCTTGAGATATAAGTTCTAAGGTCTCAGTATAGTTACAACGGCTGCCCCACCCTTCGAACCGAAACGCATTACTGCTTTACGGCGGAAATAAGCAGGGTGGTGGTACCTACCTGTGCGGACTCCCAAGAGGTCCTACCACCAGTGATTACGCAAATTATAATTTTGCGGGTTTGATTTATTCAAAGTAATAATGTTAATTGTAACAGAATTTATTTTTAATAGCTATGCATAATAATATAAGAGTACTGTTAACCACAGTCATTTCTGTTTTAAATAATAAATTATACATTAAATATCTTAAATCTTATAAAAAAATTCAAATTAAAACAGTGCGAACTAAAAATTAAATATGGTAGAATAACAGTGTCATGCTACTAATAATAATTAAATATCAACATAGAATAAACTAAACTATAAACCATCATTAATTATTGCTAATAATGGCGGCGTGCGTGTGTAGGTACCATCGGGTCCGGTTTCAATTTTTGTGAAATTAATTATTTAATATTTTTGTATGAGGCAGCTCCGTTTTCGCTAGATGTTTACTTAAACACCAAATCCCCGCCAAACCCCATAACGTTCATAAAAAGTGAAGCAAAAATTGCGGTTTTTCTATAAAATGTAACAAGGGAGTTGATTTTAATCAAGTCGAGGAGAGGCGCTTCGTTAGTGAGATTAAATTTTGTTAAAATTCCTTTTCCTCTTGAGACGCGACCGTCTCGACTTACTAGATACAGTTCAGGCGTTCTTTGTTGTCACATTAATTATCGCAGCATGAAACATGATGTTTATTTATGAAAAGACATCGTCGGCACCGACTCCTCGTTTGTCGCGTTGGCAGTCGTGCCGGCAGCTGCTGTCGTGGGTGACTTGCACGCTGAACGTATAACATTATATTGCGTACAAACGTCAGTTCCGCAAACTTGTGTAGTAACTGGTGGTGGGCCGCGGCGCAAGCCCGCACGGGTACGGACCGCCATCATGCCTATTTCTGCGATGAAACAGTATTACGTTTCAGATTAAAGAGGCCACCGGGATACAATCGAGTATTCAACCTCATCTCAACGTGGCAGGATGGTGGTGGCATTCACGTTATAATATTAGCTATGTTATCCAGTAACCACTTACACCAGGTAGGAAACAAGCTAGTAAACTCGTCTGAGCTATAAAAAAAGAATGTTTCCTGCAGAAAAACAAAACTCGTTATTCTTTTTTAGAGTATTTAATGAAGTTTCGTTCTCCCGGTGATAAAAATTGTAGAATCACTATGGGGGAAAGACATCGCGACACACTGAGTACCAACTTCCATTCCCTACGTTGGGCATACCATACCCAAGGTGAGTCATCTACCATCCTCGTACTGATCGAACTAGGCCGAGGTACGCGGAGCCATGGTTTAGTCTGGAGTACAAGGTTTAAATCATTAGTTCGGTCGTTGTGTGGACTCTTACGTCATGTTGTTATTGAGCATCGGTTCAGCACTGGAAGCGCGTCATTTCGTCTCTAATTTTATCTCTTAAAAGCGGAGTTTTATTGATACATTCGTGAACAAATTCAGTATGACAAAAGAGTATCACACAGTCAGAGATTAGTTGAAGAAATGAATAATTTAAACAAAACCTAATTTATACCTGAATTCAGAAATTGGGAAGAATGATTAGATCAATATTTGTAATTAGTATGTATGTATCATTCATATAATTGTGATGTAATTTGGCAAGTTTGTCGCATCGGAGTGCGACAGTGTAGTGTCTTAGTGTAGTGTAAATAAATAAAATATTCTTCTTTGTCTCGTGGGGTCGGCATAGCTAATTTTTTTATTCTATTCTCTTCTATCAGTCGTCATCTCAAACTCACTTCTCTCTCTCTCATATCATCATTCACACACTCTTCTTCTTCGGTCGATCTCTTCCCCCCTGCCTAGCACTACCATTTCCATACATCTCCTAGTCACATGCATCTCCTCTCTACGCATCAAATGTCCGTACCATGCTAACCGTCCGTTCAATAACTATAAATGAAATACGATAAAAAATATATTCCGAAACGTTTTTTATCGAATTTACTGAAGTTGGGCGATAATAATAACGTACGTTCATAATAACAGAAGATATTAAACCTCCTTTTTGCGTTTCTCTAAATTTGTAAATAAGTATATTTGGGAGTCGCCGTCGCTACGGAGTAAATGGAAACGAATGAAAATTATATTCGAGATAAATATTGAGACGGCGGCTGCTCCGCTTAAATTCGATTTTTGTTCAGTCCCTTTATTAGCATCGGCGAGCATTCGAGATAACGGGCGACTACCAGCGGGGAGCTCTGTCACATCGGAATACTGCAGAGTGGGCTTTTTATTGAAATTCCACGAAGTACGACACCATTCGTGTCTAGATTATTTATTTAAAAAGAAAATTACAACGCATCATATTGACCAAGACTCAATATGTAATTAATGCACGAGTAAATATCAAAAGCAAACAAAATTGCTTTCACTGGAAATATAAGATCCTGTATCAGACATACTTTCTGCACGGGAAAATTCGCCATTGCCAATCTTATGTGATGCTCTGTGTTAGGTAGTTCAAAGTATTTGGCATTTAAACCATACCGTACTGTTTAGATATCATGAAGCATAGAAATGAAATATCGACGAGTCTTCGCCTCCGGTCTTATTACAAAATGGTGGCTGACTGAGTCCTAGATAGCCAACGTTTGCCAAGGTTCCACCAAACCGCCACTGAAAGCGGAAGTGCCCACGTCGTACTCTACTAATTGAAAAGCTTCTACAGCTTCGAGCATAAGCTCGGTCATCATTTCTTTGAATCCAAATACTGCTCAATCGTAAAAAAAATGTGCGCAATTCACACGTACGGTGAAGTGAAATTCACACGAAGTGAAATTTTCAAAATTTTTGGCCACAAGATAATGAGACGAAATGTAAACTTTCGGGAAGAGGACACTTGTAGGCTTTATGATAACGTAATGATCATAGCGATACAAAGTTTGATAATTGTTTTACATTTTACTTAGATTTATATTACTTAGATTTATTCAGAATTTCAGAAACATTATGAACTCACGACTTAGTACGAATATTAGTTACGAAGCAGAGCACAAAGAGAACAACGAATATAAGAATATATGAATATTATAACCTTATTCACAGAGTTCCCAGCCCGACATCGATGTTCAGTTTTTTTTACAATTCATAAGGTCACTTTTGAAGATCGCTTTTAAGAATACTCCGCGCCCTTTGATGAAAAAGGTAGCTAAGTTAGGGGCTAGCCAATTTTTACTTTGGGCTCCTCCTTCCTGTCTCATTATGTGTTTTGCAAACAGTTTTTTTAAGTAGTAAAAAATATTTATAAAAATGCGGAATCAACGTAAATTATTGAGTCCTCTGCTTAGATTGTGTTCACAAAGAAGGGCGAATTACAGTCCGCAATATAACTACTCGATCGGTCCCGGAGCCCACCTTGGCACATCAGATCGATTTCGTTAAGGAAAACGTATGTACGTGGCTACAAATTATGTGTCAGGCCAGTGGGGTAAACATTGTCGGCGGGATCGCGAGGGTAGTTCGTCTGTACAGAATACATGGAAGTTCAAATAATTATAAAATCTTAGGAGTTCCTGTAACTTTGCCGATTTTATGTGCAGATATGATGTTGTCAGAAAGGACAATTTATTTCGCTTGCATGAGTAGAGACGACCGAATAAGAGCGTGGCTCGGTTGCGGCCCAACTTAATATAGGGGCGGAATGTCATCCCCCTGTCGGCGGTGACCCTGAGGTATTTGCCATTGTCCTAAGTTGGTGGCTGTGATCAGTCGTTTATGTTGAAAAAACGACATATTCCTCCTGGAGTAGTATATAGCCGTATCATGGACGCTAGCGGGCAAGATACGGTTGCCAGCCGGGCTCTGTCGTTGATGTATAAACTAAAGAGCAGTGAAACTTCAGCGGGGTGGTGGTTTCGGTAATATTTCTAGGTTTAGACCTTCTGTTTACATTCTGTATGTCATGTCATTATAATTAAT